GATAGATAGATAGATAGATAGATAGATAGATAGATAGATAGATAGATAGATAGATGTATAGATAGATAGATAGATAGATAGATCAGATTTACTGAAAACAGAACACTAAAACTTCTAAGATTGTGCCACAACAATGCGGAGGTTAGGTACAGACACAAAGAATAATTCTTTATTCCTTAGCATTGGCAATACAGCTTGGAGAAACACAGCACCCCTCCCCTTCCCCACCCCGAAATAAAAACAACAAGAAACAGCAGTGAAACAACAAAGACAAGTAAAAGAAACGATCAGAACCCGTTTTGCTAGGATATTAATTTTGTGAGAAAAAAATACTAGGTTAAATATAGGATTTATACAGTCTTCTCTGGATTTAAATGTTTACAAGTAAAACGAAAACAAATTAATAAATGTTGAATTTTTATGTGAAGTATTTCATAATAAGCAAAATGTAATTCATTCTCTTTTTGTCTGTTAAAATACAGACCACAATAACTTATTTTAAAAATCATATTACATATTATTCTTCAAACATTTATATACGCTAGTAGGGTAGAACAAGTAAAGAATATACATAAATTTATGCACTAAAATGTCATACATTAAACTGTGTATAATGAAACAAAAATAAAACTAATCCCCTGCAACCCCCCACCCACCCGACCCCGTCTAAGAATATGGTAACAAACAGACAAGAAAAAGAATATGATAACAAACAGACAAGAAAAAGCCCAATAACAGTTGTAATATTGGTATGATAAAAGCTGGCAATAAAAACGGCAGATCAAATAAAAGTTGAGATTTCTACATCGATAATACTATTGTAAAGGGCAGTTAATGTGAGGTAATAGCTCCGAGCTTTTCAGCAAAGATTATGCAGGTTCTTGTCCAAACAAGATCTAACACTGACATGCTTGTGGTCAGAGCACGTCAAGTAGTTCCACGCAAAACGGTTTTAGTATCTGAAGAATGGTCGGCATTCAAAAAGTATTTATTTTTTTGGCATCTGGCGGCTGTGCTAGACACGATGCGCCGTACTTGCAGTTCTTAGTATTTCAAGTGAAAACAGGACAAAGAACGTAAAATACACGACGCCTGCTCCCCAGTTTGAAAGACTGCAGGAATTTCTTCTACACGTACTTGGCTATTCGTTCAGTTGTTTTTGTAACGTCAGGGATAATTTTTTAGGCTCTAAACAGTTGCAAGTCAGGTTTTATTTTTTTTAATTTTGTGTGTGTGTTCTCCTGCATTTCAATGTCATTTCAATTAAGTGTGTTTTCATGTGGATACACGGATGGTAGCTCTAAAGTTCGACTTGTTTAATGTTAAAAAGCTATGTTCATCTTTCAGCACGCTGTGTTATTGTAAGAAGCCGATACTCCCATCGTTCGAGGTTTCTTCATTATTCCCATGCATGACAGTGAAATCAAATCTGGAAGACTTCAGTAAAGTTATAGTTTTATCTGACGCCAAATGTATAGTAGAGCAGTACAGAGCGACATCAAATTTAACGAGGTACCTCATTTATTGACGTCTAAAGTATACTTAAGCTGATGAACTGACACTCATAAACATCGTAATGTTCATTGTTTATGTGCCAGTTTATCTCTTGAATTATGTTTATCTGTCTAAAACGTGTAGTGATGGACGGGGAGTTTAGTGCGGTGGCTGCTTTTGGGACTACTTGGCAGTATAATTGAGATCTCAGGGAACAAAACACCCCATTAGCTGCTCAATTTTTCTCTGGTATGATACGGTATGGTTTGGGTTTCCCACCCTTTTAACACAGTAGGGTTATCTTAAAGATGCGAACCCTTGTTTCATGTCTGTCTTCTGCGAAACGGAACTAAGAGGGCAGAACCATACACGCCAAAACCATTCATATTTGGTGTCCTCGTCAAAGTTTACACTTGAACAGCAAGCCAAAAGTTACTCAACAGCCTTGGAGTCCCGTGGAGAGCTGCTCTCGTCCCACGAGTCAGAGATGTGGTCGGAGTCCGTCAGGGCGGATTTGTCACTGTTTTTGTCTGGGGTGCGAGCACGGGTTGGGGAGGTGCCGCCCCTGAAGTTCAGTCTGTACGGGTGGAAGGAAAAGGGGGAGGCTAGGACCCCCGGGTAGGAAGATGCCGACAAACCGCCCATTCCCAAACCCATTCCCAGACCGGCGTAAGCGGCGAAGTGCGGGGGAGGCGGTAAAAGATCAGTGTGACCATGTCCTTGGGCAAGGAAGGGATTTCGGAGCGCTGCTTCTGCTGCAGCGGTTGAGTGGAAGTGTGGGAGGTGATTAGTGAACGCAGAATGAAGACCATGGGCGTGTCCAGTGGGAAGAGGCGTGAAAGCCGATTTGATGGATCCATAGGTAAGTTTATTCGAAGCTACCACGCCGGCATGAGCGGCTGGTGGAACCAGAGGCGGGTGAGGCGGCGGTCTGACACCATTTTGTCTGCTGGAAGAACCACTGCTGGCATTGATGGGTGTGTTGTTGCCGCTGCCGCTGCTCGTCGCCGAGACCGGGGAGCCGAAGTTGACATGACCGCCAGAGAAACCGTTGAGAAAAGGGTTAGGCGGTCGTCCTTCGGGTCTGTGGCTACTGTTATGAATAACGGCTTGCTGCTGAGCGGCGACAGTATCTTGCGCAGATAGGAAGTGCTCGATGGCCTTGACTAAATCTCCGTTGCATCCTTGTAGAACCAGCTCCAATACAGATTTACGCTGCAGAGGAAAGACTCGCTCTAAAATCTCTAGCGGTGACAAACGACCAGGCCGGTAGCCTGTAGGCTGCTGATGCTTCTGATTGGTAGATTCGGACCTCTCCTTTCTCAACTGTTCGGACTGATGGCTGTTATTGTTGTTGTGGTGGTGGTGGTGGTGGTGATGGTGGGAATTTTGGACCGGGGACTTTTGGGCTGATGTGACCGTCTCTTGTTGCCTGACTGGCTGCTCTTTGGCGTGGCTGTCAGAGACTGGGAGGGGGTCGGAGCTGTCGGCCGCAAGGGGAGAACTAGTGGTCGGAGATTCCCTGCCGGCATCGCTACAGCTGTCTACCTCCAGCTCCGTCTGAGAGTCTGTGGACACATGGGAGAATCATCCATTAAAAATAACTTTTCATCTCAACATCTGACCGCTTTAATTCTTTTATCTTAATCAAGAATTTAAAAAAACAACCCAAAACACCTTTGAATAATATGTTAGTGTAAAAATATGCAAACATTAAAATTTAGATGTCCTGTGGGTTTTTTGTCTCTTTGTTTCTGTTTGTTTGTTTGCTTTATTTTGTATTAGCTCTAATCCATTAGAGTGGCCTGTTGTCATTGGCTAAGTGGTATAAATATATCTGAAAGGACCGAATGGAATTACAGGGACTGAAAGATTTAAAAAAAGACTTGAAATGAATTTTTAATGCTTAAAAACGGATAAGAACAAATCATTTCAACGTTGATAATATAGCAATGATGTTGTTGTTGTTGTTGTTGTTGTTGATGATGATGATGATGATGATGATGATGATGATGATGATGATGATGATGATGATGATGATGATGATGATGATGATGATGATGATGATGATGATGATGATGATAACGATGATGATGATGTTAAATATTATTGT